ATGCAAGTCAAAAATAGACCCTTTATTGTGTGTCCAATCTCACATTGAAGGAAAATATGGATTTACAATTAAATGAAAAATATGACGTACACAAACTTTTGAGAAAGGCTTGACAACTTTGGAATACTCCTCTCATTGCTTACTTGTAGAAGTACATTTTTTGTTTACGTGTTAAGACTTTTTGAGTCCATTTATATAAAACTAGGATGTGTTTGATAATCTTTCGAAAGTCTTAAAGATGTTAAAAGACATTATTATTTTGTATTTAAAATATCTAAATATCTATTTTTTGAATAATTATTATATTACATAACACATCAGGTTCGGTGAACCAAGATGCTCCGTTCAGATTTACATGGAAAATGACACGGAAAGATTTGTTTAAATATTGTGGCATGGCTAAAACTGGTGTAGACATTGTATAAAAGGACGTTTATTGTGCTTCAAACTTCACTATATTTGAGTTATTGTGTTAAACGTAATTCATTAAAGAGTCTAATATAGTTAGAAATCTACCTTTCATGAAGCTGTACAAAACTTGTAGGAAACAATAACAGCAGAAAGTCAAACCCACTGCTTTGAAAAAAACGGTGATGCAGTACGTGATGAGAACATGTTGACAATGATTAAATGTTGAAGTCAAGAAAAACAAACGTAAAAGCTTGGATGGTAAAGTATGCTGTAATGGAGAAACTTTCCCTGATTGAACTCACAATATCTGAAATGGATCAGCAGCAGCCTTGCTTTTGTCTCGATGATAATGGACAGGGCCGGCCCTGACCAATTTGCTGCCCTAGGCAAGATTTTAGCTGGCGCCCCCCGCCCCCCAAATGCAGACACTCACTATGACTTGCGCATGCACGGTTGTGGCATGACCACCAAAACAGAAAGATATGGACACAAGATGTGTGCAACTGTATTTAGTATCCTATCCATTTGAACATGATTTAAGTGAGGGGGGGACCTCAACTCCTCTAGCCCTTAGCATTCGCCCTTATTATTCGCCTATACTTCCAATGCCGAGAGCCGGCCCTGATAATGGACGCCACATTTGGTGAATTGTCAGCATCATGTTGGTCACCAGGTAGATGCAGTTTGTTTCAGAGACACCTGAAAGCACATCTGGCCAGAACAGGAAGTCTTTTGAGGGATGACAGGCCAGATGTTGCATCAGGATGTTTTTCTGTTTGCAGCCGCAGCATTTTGTTGGAGCTGAAGACAGGAACAGATTTCCTGGCAAAAACAAATACATGATTCATGTCCGCTGCTCCATCGCTGACAAACAAAGGATGGCTTTTCTTTGGATAAAGTTTGTTCAACACCAAAGAGGGACATGATGTTTGAGTAATGCAGCCGAGTCTTTGACCAGCATCTCTTTTTGAATCAAAAAGGGACATTTAGAAGTTAATTGGTTCTACAAGTAGCCTGGGTTTTCGTCATAATGGTCAAATAAATCCTACTTTCCAGTGGATTATGCTGAGAAATAGTGTTTTATACAGAAAATACAATCTGAAACGCATGCAATAAGAAGAGGGCAATTCATTTTTTAAAAGGTTATGTTTATCCTGAACCATGGAGCTGATATTTTGGTTAGTGTGCTGATGTATTTGTGGTGTAATCAAACATACGACACGTAGTCCTGGTGCGAGTTAATTTGCTAAATTACTCTATCAAAGCTATCCAACGGTGCATTCATTTGAGTGCACCCTTCTGCACTGAGGGACAAAATAAACCAAATGACAGTTAAAAAAATGTTATTCTTCTTCTTCTTCTTCTCCACTGCTACAGCGCAGTATTCAGTGTTGCTGCTGAGCTGTGTGTGATCCTCCACAGGGCATCATTGACACTGACAGTAACTCCTGCCTCCTGAAGTCAGGGGGCAGAGCGCTGGGTCATCTGACAATCTGATTTCCACGTCCCTGAGAAACGTACACCATCTGTGTCTCTGTCCTCGTCAGACACGTCTCCCTGCGAGTGTCCCGCCTGCAGTCCCTTCAGCAGGAGGAGGGAAGGAGGTCACTGATATCGCCTGAATCAAGATTAGTCTGCCATAGCAGTGCTCGGCTTAAATGTGCAGATGAGAGCACAAAGCCCAGGAGTAATTTTACACATTACTAGATGTAGCTGGAGATATCCGTCCCCTTCCGCCTACACGGGGCCATCTGGGTGTCGAGGGCAACACACTTTCAAGTTTACTTTCACCAGTTTTCTCTTTGGGAGTTCAGTGATATTAAGTAACAGAGAGGCTGGTGTTGTTGTGAGTTGGTGTGTGTCATCATGGTGAATGTGCTTCTGGAGACATCTACTGTAGCAGGAGTCGGCATTTTACCACTTCTGGTTCCCCCGTCTCATATTCCACAGTTTTTTTAACGTGTTGTTAAGAGACCTGAAATAAGATCTCTAGTTAAAAAAAACTGAATAGATTTTCGCATCAACATCAACTAGGCAGTAAATAACCCACTGGCTAAGCCTTAACCTTTTGTTTCATACAAATGGAGATTGCTAACGGGTAACAAAATGAAACTACTAAACTTCATCAGGCTAAACATTAGCCGCCTTTAACGGTTGTGGCGTGAAGTCATGTCACTGTGACGTATTTAGTTTGAGCTTTTTACTTCTGCCGATTTACTTTACGCTGTTGTTAATATGTGGAGATTATCTTGTCCCAAAAAACGTATAAGTATCATAAACTTGTGTTTGATACAGATCTGAATTTCTGAAGTATTCAGAATTCTAATGAAACATTCCCATTGCCCTTAGTTGAGGAAACCCTTAAGACGCCAACCTCCGGGTGGGCCTACTCAAATACATCATGTTTGCACCTCTCTATAGTCTGTGAATGGTTGTTAGATATAGGGTTTAGAAAGTGGGTTAGCGGATATTGGCCTTAAAACAGTTTTAGCTGGGTTGACTTTTTAAAATTATGATCATTAGCTGAAACTTTTTAATTGGCTTGAAGCAAAATAAACCAATTACCTTTTATTTGATATGACATAAATATTTGTCTTTTGAAATCAGTTCAACCTCTGACTTTACCAACGTTTGAAACCTGACTCACCTGCAGGGTTTGTAATATCAACGATTTGCACTCTTTTGGGAACATCCCTAAAACCAATGGGGCTTATATTTCTTAGTAATTGACTTTAAAGTGGACCTATCATGCTATATTTGAATAATATAGTGTAGGACCATACCTATATAAGGCATATGTATCCTTTTTATTTTTCAAAATACCAAACAGATCATGCATTTTAGCCATTCCTCATTTCGCTCAATTTAACACTGTCTTTGTATCATGGGCTGATTCTGTGAGAACAGCACCACCTACAGGCCTGGCATATGTACTACATCGTCTCCAGCGCTTTCCAACGGCAATGTCCGTGGCTGTCTCCTCCTGATTGGTGGAGTTGGCCCAATAGCCGTAGCGCCACTTCTGTGACGTCATAGAAGTGTTCAAATCTGGATCAGTCTGTATCAGATCCGTTGCAGCCCCTTTTTAAGAGATTTGGGTATGGAGGGAAATAGAGAGGGTTGTGTTTTCTGACACTTGGTGAGTTCCCTGGAACACCGGGGACACATGTTCATGTAGAAAAGACGTACACAAGTGCATTTTGCATGATAGGTCCCCTTTAAAGCAGATCAGCATGACTTTAGTCCATCACGTTCCTGATGGCCGGTCATTCGTTTGGAACAAAGCAGGATTGGGGGGAAATGCACACATTACATCACATGTCATTTGTTAGAGGCTTTTATCCAAAGCTACTAACATACTCAATACTGTGGGCAATCCCCACAGGAGCAATTTGGGGTGAAGTGTCTCAGGGACACAACGACATGCTGACTGCAGTGAGACTCAAACTTGCTATCCCCTGATTCGAAGTCCAGTACACTATCCACTGAGCCACAGCCTCCCACACAACATGTCATGCCGTTTCAAAGTTGTCAGTGTTTCCTGTCTATAGCTTTTTTGTACAATAGTGTTTATTCATCAAAGCAGTTTTCCAGCAGGAGAGCTCCATCAGGGCTGAGTTGCTCGGCTGCTTTGATTGGCTCTCTTTCTAAAGGAAAGGTGCCTCACTGAGAGCTCACTAGTGTCATGAAACAGTCAGGTGTAGAGCTAAGTAGTTGTTGAAGCTCAATTAAAAGCTGAACATCTTTTGTCAAATGGGTTTTATTCCCAACTCAGCTTTAGTGCTTATCAGTCAGAGAGTTGTTAGAGCTATAGTCTTCGGGTAAACAGCGAGGAAACCCCTGCTTCATTAATTACTATTCCTTTACTGTACACTTCCTTTGAATTCTTCTGCCTTTCATATCCTTTGAAGTGATGTTTCTGTTGTTAGCATTACCAAGTTCTTTCTCAGGGCAGCTATAGTGAATTTGCTCACGAGTGTTTTTTGGAAACTTGCATATTATTTAGACCATAACATGCAAAGTTTAACAAGTTGGTATATCGGGGTGGGAGAGAAACGTCCTCCATAGGGACGTTTGGGATTTTAGCCATTGCAGACCATTGACATGCACAAAAACATCAGGAAAGGGAAAACCCAAAAAAGCATAAAATGGCCCCTTTAATCTTTTTGTGATACTTTTTTTCTACCAATTTTAAAGACATATATCATATACTGCGCATACATTATTCACATTACATTTGTTTACATACTTTAATACTTTTTTGATCTCTCGGGGAATTGAAAGTAGTTATTGCCTGAGGTCGCATGCTGTGGTTTTATTAAATATGCCAAGTGCTAGGACTGTCTTAGGGAAGAAAGCTTTTAGATGTGCAGCTCCACTAACTTGGAACAGTCTGCAAAAAGAATGGAAAATTACCAAGCTGGTACCACTACATGTTTTTAAAGCTTGGTTGGATGCTACACAACCAGATGCTGCTGGTACCTGTACATGTGGATAGATATTGAGGCCCAATCCCAAACCACTCCCTCGACCCTACCCCTCCGTGACGGAGTGAACTCCTTCTGTAGCCACACTCGCAGCTCAACGAGGCTCCCTCCTGTCAGATGGAGGGAGTAAATACAGCAGCAAACATTAACCACACTGGAGAGGGTCTTCTCTACCGCCGTGACGGAGTGAACTCCGTCTTAGCCACACTCGCAGCTCAACGAGGCTCCCTCCTGTCAGATGGAGGGAGTAAATACAACAGCAAGCTTTGGGACGGCCTCCCCTCTCTCCGGCAGAAACAGGAAATGCCGTAACTGTATGTAACAACGGTTTCAAATCAGCATCTCTTAGACAAAAAGTTTAAATGAATAACTCAAATAAAACTCCAAACATCTTTCATTGTGTTTCAAAGCTCTTTTAGTTTTAAACCTGATGTTTATAAGCTTCTTAGTTTTTGCAACATTCTGTAAATATACACAACTTTATAATAAAATGCACACATTTACCTTTTTCTAGACTAAACACAGGTACGATCCTAAATTAAAAACATATGAGGTTATCATGAGGTTGTTAACATCGCAGTTTATCAGTGGATGTTTGCTGGAACTACTTGTTAACAGCTTGTTTCCTGACGGACACACACAGCGCGACTCCGGTCAGGTAGAGACCGGTCTCAAGTCAGCACTGCTGCAGACTCGCTGTTTGAGGGCTTGATAGCCCACTCCCCCTCCACACCGCTCCACACTCGTTGGTTTGGAACAGCCCTCAATATGGCGGGTAGGGTGTAGGGGGCGGTTTGGGAATGGGCCGTAAATTGTAATCCCTGTACATTTTGCTGTATGATTTCCTTTTGTTGTTCTGTTGTTTATGTTTTTATGTCTTCATGTGGAACCTACTGCTGCAGGTCTCCCTTGAAAAAGAGATGATTGATCTCAATGGGATTTCACCTGGATAAATAAAGGTTTTGAATTGAACGTCTCAACTAGGATACTTGAACCTTCAGAACCCCCTAATATCTGCATGCCTGCTGGTAGATGCAACACTGTTTTATTCGTACAGTTTATTGGAAAGAAATTATGTTTCTGCTGATGATGGATACATCATCTTTCTCGTGCTATTGTAAAATCCTTTTCTCAGCACCAGGAAACTCATAAACCTGGAGCACATTAATAAAGTTAACTCAAGGTTTTGCTGAGCATGCATCTTTCTTACAATTGGTTCACCGGTTTATCCGTGTTGTTGCAGCTCTGTACAAATACTGTTTTGTTTGTTGTTAATGGCTCAATTCTTTTGGGGGTTCCCAATTAAAAATCCCCGACTGGTGGAAACACAGCAGAACAGATGCTGGAGTTGGCCTTTGGGTTGATTTACATACTGTATGTAAAATACAATGTAGGTACACATAATTAGTAGAAATAATATTTGTTTCCGTATTATTCAGAGCTATGCATGGTTGAGTCAGACGCCCTCGGAGGGGATTCCTCGCCAAAAGTAGCTCCAAGAATACCTGCAGTCTTCCTGTCACAAAGTCAAGTGAACAGAGGACTGTTGTGACACAGGACTAAAGAAAAGGTCACCCACACACAGACAATAAGTCAAGACGACGTGACATTAATTTAGTCTCCTCTGGGCTTTGGTTTTCATCTCTTTGTCCACATAGTCTAGAAATACTACTCTAGGTCTGACCAAGCAAACAATCTGGATTTGTCACACACATCTGATACTCATTTAATTCAAAGACCAAACTGTCTGTTTTTCGTGCCATGCATGTTTGCTCATAGGGGAAATCTCTCTTAAACATAGCTGTAATTTGCACACAATTTCTATAATTAACCTTTGACACTGCTAATTGTAGAAGTGACAACAGAGGGAGTGATACAGGAAGGGCCGGGGTTTGATACCATCTCAGATATGTCTTTTGGTTTTGATGTGTTGTGAAAATAGCAGAAAATAATGTTTTCTTATATATAAATGTATTGTTCATTATTTAGGCTGACATACAAGGCAGTTACTTAACACAGGGGTTCCCAACCTGTTTTCCCAAGAGCCCCCCCAAATGACTCCTGTTGGAAGTTGCGCCCCCCCCCCTCAAAAATGCTACAACTACTGTCACAAACTGGATGAATGTGAAGTATTTTGTTAAAGGAGGATGACAGCGTAATTAAGGAGCACTATTGGAGTGACTTTGATGGTTACTGGACTCAGGATTCATTCATTTGGATTCCCGCTGTATGAAGAAATGAAAGGACGGCGCAAGTGGAAACAATTCGCAAAGTAAGCCGGATTTTAGCCGATGTGTTTATGTGGATTCAACAGTCGTAAATAATATACAAAATGGAGGAGACCGATCTGATCGGAGCAACTGTGACAAATAATCCAACTGAAACCGGCATGGACAATGACTATGTTTTAAAAATGCGCTTATCCAGAAAAGCCTGGTGTTTCAGAAGAAACATTTCTATTAAAGAAAGAATTATACATTTCTGTCTTTTTATGCCTTTAATAGCTACTAACTTGAAATTGTATTCAAATTAATTAATCAATTATTTGTTATATTTGATTGTCTCTACATTACAATCATGTATTGAGTTACAATTATATGTAAAAAAAAAAAAAGTTTAAATATGATATTTGGCCTCAAATCATCTAATAATAATAATACATAATATTTATATAGCGCCTTTCACGAAACCCAAGGTCGCTTTACAAGTCGGGTAGGGGGGGGG